TTTGATGTTGAGTATTTGTTCACATATGGTAACTGATTTGTAAAGGCTTTATCCCATACAAAATCTTTTATACAATGGTGAGAAAGCTGTACATCAGATAATTTCTATGCAATTTTTTCTAAATAAAACTGTTCTTATATGTAAATTTCTCTTGCACCCATGAGAATACTGGATATATAATGATTGTTCCTCTTTACACACCCGATATATAAACCCTAAGAATCTCTAACAAGGTTAATGTTGATGAAAATTTTTCTCCACGTCGCAACTCAATACAATCCGGACTTATTTCTCTCTAATTTTCGAATCCTTCGATATTTCTCCCGTTGTTCTATGTTATTACTTTGAACTTCATTCTACTATAAACGGGATACTTCTAACCTGGTTTTATTGTATTTGTTATTTGCACAACAATAAAGGATAACTATTATATTCCTCGAACACATCACCAATCGGTATTCAGTAAGTCACAATTTTTATAAAAAATAACTGCTTTACGACTAACAAGAACAGATACCTCACCTCACTCTTTTAAGATTTTCTTCCACGACAGAAGGAACTTCCAGAATTCTTATTTTGTCATTCAGACAAATAATGCAGCTTGCAGAATACCCCCTAAAACATTCTAATTACTCCTTTATCGGTATTTTCTCATTACCGTATGCTACAGACATAGCATAGACGAGATGCTATAATAAACCTACTGAATTTCTTTTCCAGGCGGAAATAAGTTACTGGGCTGGTCGCAATAAATATTCAGCACACACGCAATAAGTATCCAGACTGTAAGTGTTCAAAAAAATCATAAACAGCAGATGTTAAACTACTGCATAAAAACAACTGAAGTGACACAGAAAAGATCATGTAACGTTTTAGATATTTAATCATGCTTGAAGACGAGGCGAACTAAGAATATGATTGCCCAAATAATATTCTTATTTGGATGTTTTTTTAACAGAAATGCTTTTATTAATACTGTAACATATGCATAATATGGCTATTCCTTTCAAGACTCTGCCAAGTCTGTTGAAAAAAATCTTTGTCTTACAGTAGGCTTGCTTGTGTTACCTTTCGAATTTCTGTCATTTGTGCTTTCCTGAAGAATAAGAGAATTCGAAAGTATGTAAGCTATTTTTAGGAAAACCAAAAGTGATACATCGTTGGTACGCATCACTACATCTTCTTTGTAACTGGCATGATAAATTGATTAATCTCTGCATGTAAATCACAGTGGATATGTAAATGTGGGTATGATAAAAACATGATGTCGATAACCTTTTGATAAAGGTATGCGTTTATCAAGATGTTCGAAGAAAAGTGTATATCCGGTCAATTTTCAAATGATATCAAGACACGTTATACAAGTGAAATAAAATTTTTATCTGAAAGCGACTCTGGATATCAAACAAAAACAGCTAGGGAGAAATAAAAACTATTCCAGTTCTTCCTTCTCAGCAGTGTTTCGCCAACAAAGCAAAGCTTTCATACTTTCATTTTCTGCAATTTCTTTTCTTCACTACCTCACATCCCTTTCTCATATACGTCAATAGAGGAAGTTTTAACTGGTTTGTTGCACGGATTAGACTTAAGTAACCTCTTCAGCTGCAATAGTATCTCCATCAATTAAGAAATTATAGCCATATAAATTAAAATAGTCCATTCTTGATTGGAATCCAACAACCAAAGTAATGTAAGTTTGAATTCATACAAAAGAAAGAACTTTTGTAATACTTGTCCCTTTTGCATTTGTGAAAAACATTGGCTTCTTTACGTCATTCATAAATGCTAAGATTATATTACGTGAACGTACTCAATACAGTTATCGGAAAACCGAATTTATTATACATTAAATGCTTAGAATATTTCTAATGATTCATCACTGCATTTATTCACTAATTTACATTCCTTAGAACCTAATTCCCCACACGTTTTTTCTATCTTTGTCTAACGGAAATTCACACCTTTATTTTTTTGACAAAGGGTGTCCTAACTTCCCATGCTAATCTTCCTATCTAATCTTGTTATAATGCTTGTACCGTTTCCGATGTGTTTCTGGTGCTTGAATGTTTACTGTAAAGCACTCCTACTTCCTCAGACATATAAACCCTCTTTGTAACAAAACGAGGATATTTTGGACCGGTGCTCTTCTATAGTTCATTACTTACGATTGCATTTGATTCACGGTCGAGCGATTTCCTACTCGTTACTCTTCAATAATCTCACTAGTTAGCTCTGTATTATATCAATTAAGCAGTAATTTTTACTCTGTGTCCTCACAACGTATTTCGACGTCCTCACAAGATAACCCTTTAATTAAATTTCTGTTTGATCCTAACTCAAGGCTAAACCTTCCAAATCTAAACGACTCGATAAAAATTTTTTATAACAGTTGTGGAAGACATGCCAGATGGTCTCGAAATTCGTTCTAAAACAAATATTATTCAGTATGCATGAATTATGAAGGTGATCTATGTTAACAATAAAGTGAAGCAAATTTTAATATCCAGTTTGATGGAAATTCATTTGTCATCAAAGAATCCTCAAAGAACAGTAACTAAGAACGTCCTCATCGCTATTTATTTGCAATTAATATCCATGCCTAAGAAATACAAATTCAAAACGCGCAAAATTACCTGTATAATAACAGAACCGCAAGCATCTCTAGTAACTATTAGAGCAAGAAGACCATCATGCACCATATGAGGCACCAATATTAACAGTTTTAATGCACTGAGATCCTTAAAGAACAATAATAAAGCACAATTTTTTGAAGAACCCATGCCATGGCATAGCACTACCCAGTGAGTGATTCAGTGTATGGGATGCATTATTAGCTTCTTTCGAGAAAGCAGAAAAAAAATTGTGAAAAGATGAACGATCCAAAAAAAAAAACCTTCCAAATATGGAAAACCTTAAAGCACTTTTGTAAATGCAAAATTCAGGCATAACAACTTCGAGTGTACGTCTTTTGACAAAATATCGGATAATCGGTAACAGCGACAAACAATCTAACTGTTTCCTGCAATTTTAGTGTCGTCTGAGCGACGACTGAACTTCATGAAACCCTATCCTAAGCGAATGTGAAAATAACTTCTTCGACTCATCGACAGCAAAGTAACTTGTTGAAAAATACATCCAATAAATATGGTACTAAACTACAGTTCACATATGTGAACAAAAAGCACTTTCCTTCCAGAAACGAAATTATACAACAAATTATACATGCATAAATTAGCACATAAGGTAGTTGGTGAAGATACTGACAAAAAAAAGGTAAAAGATAATTACTAGAAAAATTTTCTGCGGTGCGATTAACTGCATTTAAGAAATGCATTATTGGCAACATGTAAATAATAAAAGGACAACAAAAGAAAACATACTGGGTTCGGGCAATGTGATTTGTTCATGTGATCAAGGCATCCATGATAAGTAAACGTTCAATTCCATGTTGTGGAAATTTCCAAAGTGAAGGGGCATTGTGTGCAAAGGAATAAATCATGGAATAAAACTACTCATCACAATCATCAACAGTACATTCCTGTCGGAAGAAAAAGGGAGTGATGGTGACGATACTGTAGCTGCCCAAAGGATGGCAATTATCGTCTTGTCCAACCTACCAAACACTTATTCCTAGCATGTCGTTCTCTTCTACATTTCAAAGTAGAAAGAATTACGGGCTGAACATCGCACTAACTCATCAATCTCCACTCCGATAACGCACCATTTGCTTTTCCCAAAGCGCAACGCTGAAGCAGACACCTCAGTCATAAGACGCTATACATAGATCTCACAGACATACTAGCGGTCCGTTAGTTTTAAGCAGTACGTGGATGGGTGAATAAACATAAGTTATACTGTTTGTGAACGTTATTTATTTCGTAGTATTCACGTAATGCATTTCAGTTGGTGGTATTAATGTGTTGGTAATATGGTAGCAGATGAGGACTTCTTATTCCAAAATCTTCAGTATTCTGCGATATGTCTTGCAAAGATGAAAAATGTAAGTAATGTTTTTATTGTATATTAGCTCAACTGATGTGGATAATCAGACATGAAGTTTTTAAATAGATTTTTCCTGTCCTTGGTTCTCTAGCAGTTTCAAATTTTCGGTCTTTATTTTTCAAATTGATAGGAAACATAGCTGACAGAAGGATAGAGAAAAGAAAATCTATTGTCTTTATCTGTTTCGAAAAGCTTACAATAACTTCCTCTCAAGGTGAAGGTTTAATCCAATTTGTATTTGAATTACCAGAAAATCATGGATAAGGAAACAATCTCTTGGCTGACAATGAGAGTCAGTGAGAACGAGAAGCAAAGAGATATTTATTCTGTAAAGCGTGAAGGAATTTCTTAATGGTAGAATACTTGGGTGTTGAAGTGATTTCAAAGTATTTGGGAACTAGACAAAATAGGCATAAGTTTACTGTTACCGTGGTGATATATTCCAGGATCAACCGCGTAGAGGAACGCTTTATTAGTATGAGGTTGGATGTTTTAGGTGGTCATCACAAATAGACTATAATTTTGATTTAGGAATGGAACGGGGTTAGGTTGGAAGTTAAGTGATAAGCCATTGCTGATCTTCTGAATACATTTCGATAATAAAGAAGCAGCGAACCTGAGGTTTTCGTTTCCATTATGTTCATCGTTTAGTTTACATAGATCATACTGCTGGTGATTATTTGAAATATTTTGGAGAGGATGAGCTTGATAAGGAAAGTATCCCAACAACTCAAAATGTTTCTGCAAAATTTTCAGGTGCCGATAAAAAAAGTATTGGAGATTTTGCTTAATGACATGGACGGAAGTGAAAGGCCGTTGGATTACAATGCTCGAACAAAATTGCTTGCAGCTGGAATTTATTTATTATATGCCGAAGGACGAGTATGCTATGCTTTGCTTACTGCTTTTATTAAATTAAATATATCAAGAATTATTTATATTTCGTTTCTCATTACTCCACTCGATTTTTTTTTTATAAAATGAAATCCTCATTGTGTCCATAGACTAAACATAATCAGAAGTTGCTATATTTCAATGCTTATCATTTCATTCCACTTTTTCACTTTTTTTTAGCACCTGAATGATTTACTTCCAATTCTTCTGGAAGTTTATCGAAGTTTGCCACGGTTAAAATGGATTGATGATGATGTTCCGAATCGACAAGACAGTGCGTATTGTTTGGTTTGCTCATATCATTTCACTAACGAGTATCAAAATGAATGAAGTCAAATAATAATGACGTGGGTATGCTGCAATAATAAATTGTACTAGATAGTTTGTTGGGTTCAGTGGTTTTTGCTGTTGATTACATTTTTCAAATTTTATTTCTCATTTTATTTTTATGATCTGGAATACGTGACAAAATCTCATTAACATGTGAGCTGAAGCTCTTATTTTTCACGTCATGCAATTCCTCATCTTTAATATTTGGACCTTAACTCCACATTATTGTAATTCTCAGCTTTGTCGTTGACTGCGCCTTTTTTGTTAGGGGATTGAAAGTGGCTTAAAAACGCAGTAGCAAACAAATCCCCAATCTTCTGATGTCCTATACCATTTTCTTATTAAAAGGATAAGACAGGCAAATGGTCAAATCCGTCACATGAACAATGTTATTAATCAAATTTCCAGATGCTGTTCCATTTACATAAGCATACATTTCTTTTCTAAGATATTGGAGCAGATAACCAAAAAATTACCCAACTTTTTTGAAAAGTCGTAAATTAAAAACATTGTTTTCTTAATGGTAATACGACGAAGTGCGTTTTCCCCTTCCCCCCCTCCTCCCCCTCCCCCACCATACTATGGATTCTTAGGTTACTGGCACGACCGAATAATAAAAAGTTGATAAGACAGCAGCTGGATATATAATGATAGCTAAACATTTTCATATCATCTCTCCAAAGCAGCAAATCATCAATCTAGTTGTATTAGCTATTCTCAGAAGCATTTAAATTTCCTTGCGTCAAGCTATAATCAATCTCAGGTTTTGTTTAAGAGGACTGTACGTGCGCATTATGGGCTAGTTAAACTAAGATGGAAAAACACTCAATTTTTTAGTCTACTTACCAGACATTAGTGAGGAAACGACTTACTCATTTGAAATGAAATAAAAAAAGTTTATATAATTCTTAAAAATCCGAAACTAGATTCTGTCATCTTTTATGGCCAGATATGCTTTTAGTTAATTTTTATTTTTCATTTCTAATTTTCCTGAATGGGGTTACAGATTCCCGTTAATTATGTAAATGTGTAAGTTATGAAAACTTCGGTAGATTTTTCAGAAGTACCAATACAGGAGAAGTTTGCCGTGTGTTTTAATACTGTTCTTAGTGAGCTTGCTTCGAATTATCCGAGTGTACGTGATATTATTATCTCTGCACAAATCGAATTGCTTATGGTCATTTCTGATGTAATTGTTGATATTTGTGATCAGATGCATCCACAATTCCAAACAAAATGTATGTGTTTGCTTTTTTCGTAGCCGATTGAATTACTTGGTATCAGTACATCTGTGGGTGGAAATTTGATATTGAAATAAAATTTGGAAAAATGTTGACTAAAGTTTGTTTTTAGTTGTTCTTTTTATTTATTTTTATTCTTGTTTTAATCTTTTTAATTCTCTTTTAACTCAGTTTTTTCTGTCTATACTTTTAGGCTACTTGATGCGAGTTGTTTGTTTAATGATTGGATTACTTCGGACATTTGGACGATATAGCAGTGATAAGGATCATCCACTGATTTCGGTTATTTATCCCGTACCATTCATGATCACCCAAATAACTGCTCACAATAATCAGATAGTTGGAAGTAATAGGTTTGTGACTTATTTTATTTCTACTAAATTCCTCTCAAAATATAAAGCTAAATTCGAGAAATATTGTTTAGAGTGGGGACTCTTCGGTTAACAACCGATTCCGAAAATTTCCTATGGAATGATGCTGCCAATACAGAAAAACAGGACCAGAAAGAACGTTTGCAGAAGATGTTCTCCAAACATGCTAGCAGCTTCGTGTTGCCTGTTTTCAGCGGCAGTCTTCCAAAATTCAAATTCGCAATTGCCGAATTGAATTCGTTCTCCAATATTGTGAGTTTAAATCTTTTAAATGATGTTGAGGTAATGTACTTTTTAATATTTACTGATTTTAAAGTGTACTCCTTAATTTTATCAAGTATCAAGTTACAGATGGAACGACTGTTAAGAAAGCCACTGTTTGATATCATGGACGGATATGCTACTGATGTATATATGGTAAATAAATTTTCGTTTTCTTCTACTCAACTTGATAACCTACAGCTTATTGAACTGTAAATACAATTGGTGCAAAGTGAAGAATAGCAGTGTAGTAAATTAAAATGTTTTAATATTTTCTTTATATTGTAATTTCTTGTCATTTTCAAACTGAAAATAGAAACCATGTTCAGGCTGGACAGATCAAACGTTTCCCATATAAAACAGTGTCGGAATGTCTTTCATTGGTTTTTGTTACGGCCATTAGAGATGCTTATGCGCCGTATGATATGCTAAAACTCGAAAAATCATTGGCTCAAAAATCTGCGCGGAAGGTAAAGCTATCATTTCCGTTCAAATAAATTCATATTTCTGGGGTGCTTCGTATTGGATTAACAACTGCAATTATGTAAATTTCATCCTTTTCAAATTTTAGAACTTTTGCACATTGTAATATTTACGATTTTGATTGCTTACAGTTGCATCAGTTTACTTCAGGTGAAGACATTGGCTACAGAATTATATTCGAAGGGAGAAAATTTTCTGAATGCACAGAAATTAAACGAGGATGAACGAACATTACATTGTCCACTGTTGATTAATCGAGTTAAAATGAACGTTCTTTGCAGCTCAGTTTGTCTTGAACTTATGGTTTGGGGTACATGCGATGAAATTGGTATTTATTTTCACTTTGAGTAATGAATTTCTACTCTGTCCTCTATAGGTCAGCTCCTCCCACGAAATGTAACTTGATTATTCACTGCGATGCAGAAATAGCATGTGCTAGGCAGTTCTTGAACAACGGGATGTACTTATTACTTATTCACAGAAACTGTATGTTATTTTCAAGCATACTGCATGTTATCAGCTAGACTCAGGAAGCGTCTACACTAGCAAAAACCTAAAAACCTAATCACTGTATATGTTAAATAAAATAGATGAATTGAAAGAGATGTCTGAAGGTCAGTTCAAACGAAGTGCTTTGATTAACGTCTTTATTTATATGAATTATTCATTAAAGTTGTATGTGGTCACAGATACTGAGACTTTTTGGGAACTTTTTTTGTAAAACTTTCATTTCATCTCAGCATAGGTAATAAGAATGAGTTGCATAATCTGTTGGTTAAACTATGCTCATTTTATGAGATGTGGACATAATCTCATAAATTAATATTGAAGTCCTTTGGATTATATAGCAGTATGATATAAACTTTCTGAACTTGTCAGGAAAATGAAATTTATGTAATTTACAGATGCGGAATCACTTCATGCTACAATAGCTGATCGTCTTTGGCATGTTCACGGACATCGTCACGCATCATCCAAAATATCTCTAATAATAATGGCTCTGGAAGCACTTGGCTCACTTGCTGTTAAATTCCCAACAATTGCTGCAACACTGGCGATTAACAGTCTTAGCCAGTTCTTGGTTGAACCTTCACCTGTTTTCTCGAAATTGGCTGTAGACCTCGGTGTAAGTTTTCTTGCGTATTTTTACTGCTAACCTGGTTAGTACCAAACTTCTTTTCTTTATGGATAAAAATGAAAAGTTCAACATTGCAGTATATAATGGAACGTTACAGCAGTAGTGAACATTTAGAATGTAATTTTTTGCGATATTTTGATTTTGTTGCAGGTTATAGAAAAGCGTGTTTTCAGTGAGGGAGATCGGAAAGATGGAGAAATGATGAAAAAGAAGCTAACTTTCGAAAGTATAAGGAAAGTGGCAATAAACTCTCTTTGCAGGTATCTATTTAAAATATCTGGTTGTTAAAAAAATGCCATGAATGAAATAATTCAATTTTCAGGGCACTAAGATCTGCCATGATAGTCGATAATTCATCTGTACAAGCCTGCCTAACAAATATCTCCTCCAAACTGTTCCTTATTGCGAACAAAGGCTCAAATTAGTATGATTAATGCTCATTCAATTCAAGATTTCCATTTCCATTTCAGACCATCAGTTCTCCTGATCCGGTTAAATTTCGCTCGGTTTTTAGTCTTATCTTTATAGTTTAACTCCTTATCAACGACTTTATGTCAGCTAGTGTTTCATTAAAAACAAACTTGAAGCTATTACATTTAGTGGCTCGGCTCTCGCTTTGGAAAATGCGATACGCATTGTTGGCGGTATTGGTGCTGCTTTGGTTGATGTGGAAAATGTTCCGCAACTTGCTTTTAGTGTATTTTTTGCTTATTATCTGTTGATATTTTAACAAAGTTTTGTTATTGTAAGTGACCTGCCGAAACTTCTTTTCCTTTTCAGTCAAAAGAACATCAGTGGTTGAAATTCAAGAAGCGTGTGTTTTAATTTACATAATGTTTGTCAGCTGATAATGGATTTATTTTAAATAACAGGAATAATTCCATGTCACTAGAATGATTATACATTTGAGGTTGTGCGCCTATCCAGAACATAATCATTTATCCGTATTTGAAGGAAGCAGAAGTTAATTCTGTGTTGATTTTTAAATATTATTCAAAACCTATAAGCTTTGCTGTGTTTTTTCTCAAGTGCATTTCCTTATTACTGTGCAGAGATGTATGAAGGTTTTTCAAAACATGCTTTAAGCGAATATGTGAAACTTATTACTTTAACTTTGCAACAGCTGCTGTTTCCGGATGAGACTGATGAACAATTACATGTTTTTTCAGGTTTTTCAACAAGCTTTTACGGAAACATCTACGAATCATGATGTCATTGTAGCAGAATTGGCTAATATGTGGATAGCTGGCGCGGTATGCTTATTTATTATTGCTTATCCAGTTTCTTCCAAAATAACATTTTGGATGAATGATAGATTATTGTTCCATTTCAGCGTGACATACATGATCTGATTTGGTTACTTTTCACGAAAATAACGATTGAGTCAAGTAGTCGAGCTTATGATGCTGATACTACTGATGGTGTGGAACATCGTTATGCGTAAGTTTAAGATTCGATGATATTTGGTGTTGCATAAAAATATAGACGTATTTAAGATATCTGTCCTTGGCAGTTGACAATGCGATGGCTAAGATGGCAGAGAATGTGAATGATAATGAAGACAAAATGACACTACTGTATCGTTTTTTGGAACTTTTTGTGCAGCTGGGACATGAAGGAAGGAAAGCCGGTGAAAAATTGGCAAGGATCATGAAGGTAATCAGTTTTTACAAAATCACGTCAAGTTTTTTGTCAGATGGCCCGTGACAATCAAATATTCGGGAATTTAAAAGCGTCAAGTTGTGTACGTTTCAATCAGTAATTACTCATTTCTTCAGAACTTTTTTTTGATGCTAGCTTTTTTTTTCTTTTTTGGAAGTTATTTGAGGTACCAAAAGTCGTTATCAATCCTTTGAGTTGGTTGTTTCGTCAGTGACTATAATTTTTGTCTTTTGAGGATAAGTTTGTGCTGAAGGTATTGCTTCAATCATTTCCAGCTTTCAACTGGTGCTGGGAACTTAGGTGTTTTGATTCCGAAGATTGCTTCTCTACTACGCAGGTCTGCGACAATAAAGAACCCATCAGTTCGGCTGCGAAATTTGTTCCGCGACTTTTGGTTCTGCTGTACAGTACTCGGATTTAATGTCGCCCAGATAGGTTTGTTATAAAAATACAAATAATATAAACTTCTATTAAATTTTCCATTAGTGAGTAAGCTTAAAACATTGGAAAAAAGAAAACAAAACAGGTACTGCACTAATCCACTCGTACTTTACTGTGTGATTCACATTTCTGATCTAGTTGAGGAAGAGACTTGAGTTATGTGTTATTCGTCCGCAGAAATACATGTAGGATCAAACTTAGGTCTTTGGCCAGAAGAGTGGTTTGATGCTGCTT